CTCGTTATCCGTGGCGAAATGGCGGGACGGGCTCGCCTTGGGTAAAGCCCCTTGATCTTGGGAAAGTAACGACACTCTCCTCCTCGTGCGCATTTTTTCCCCGATTCTCCTCACCCGCTTGCCGTACGCGCGGCCCACGGCGCCATTTCTCGCCGCCGCTCCCACGGGCGCGCCACATTATTGCTGAATTTCTTAAATGGTGATGATAAAATTAAGAACACTAAGGCAATCGTGTATGAAAGGATTAACTTCTTCCAAAGGTCGTATAAGTGGGCATACTAACTAAATGAAAGCTTTCATGGGGAGTTCTACAATGCGGATGTTTTTCTGCCGCATGATAACAGGCTGCACGTTTGCATCTGATGTAGTTCTGCTTGTGGTATGTCCGTCTGTGTTCGAATTTTCGTTTTCGTGCTTGGGCGCCAGTATGCCACACAGGTACTGACAGCGTCACATATTGCAATAACGTCGTGTATAGTGGACCGTTTAGGCATGTGTCCATCTCGTCGGCGTGATAGTAGCTTTGCGCAGTAGTCTACCAAGTGAAGGCATTCGAGCTATGTCAATACGATTGTCACCAATAGTGACTCATCTACCACAATAACAGAAACATAAGAAAATGATAAATCTGAACGGTGTTTTCACGTTTTTGTCAAAGGAACTAGCGATAGGGTTACTTGTGAGAGAAGTATCTCTGCACCAGGAATGTCATAATGTGCACGTCAATCATCATCATCATCATCAGCCTGACTACGTCCACTGCAGGACAAAAGCCTCTCCTATGTTCTGCCAGTTAACTCGGTCCTGTGCTTGCTGCTGCCAATTTATACCCGCAAACTTCTTCATCTCATCTGCCTACCTAACCTTCTGTCTCCCCCTAACCCGCTTGCCTTCTCTGGGAATCCAGCTAGTCACCCTTAATGACCAGCCGTTATCTTGTCTACGCGCTACATGCCCGGCCTAAGTCCATTTCCTCTTCTTGATTTCACTATGCTTCACCCCCGTTTGTTTCCTAATCCACTCTGCTCTCTTCTTGTCTCTTAATGTCACACCTACCATTTTTTCTTTCCATTACTCGCTGCACCGTCCTCAATTTAAGCTGAACCCTCTTTGCAAGCCTCCAGGTTTCTGCTCCGTAGGTAAGTACCGGCAAGATACCTTCCTCTTGAGGGATAGCGGAAATCTACCTGTCATAATTTGACAGTGCTTGCCAAATGTGCTCCGCCCCATTCTTGTTCTTCTAGTTACATTAATCTCGAGGTTCGGCTCCAGGGTTATTACCTGCTCCTAAGTATACATAATCTTTTACAGCTAGAAGTTACGCTATTACCTATCTCGAAGCGCTGCTCTCTTCCGAGGATGTTGTACAGCACTTTCGTTTTCTGCAGGTTAATTTTAAGACCCACCTTTCTGATCTCCTTTTCTAACTCCGTCAGCATGAGTTTCAATTCGTCCCCTGAGTTAGTCAGCAATGCAATGTCATCGGCGAAGCGCGGGTTACTAAGGTACTTTCTATTAACTCTTATCCCTAACTGTTCCCATTCTAGGCCTCTGAAAACCTCCTGTAAGCACGCACAGGCGCGTGGATAGCGACCAAAAAATTCTATCCGGACTGACTGATCCCTAGTCAGAAGTACCCATGTGACACTGCTATAAAATATAAGGTAGTTTCTTATTGGGGAATGGAAGACACGCTAATGCAGGCGTAACCAAAACAACTGCGGCCATATAGTCTTCTAAAAAACAGCTGACTCGCTATCATCATGCTATAATTTTTTTTTCGTTGCGCCTCTGTATTTCTTTATTTCTTTCGATGGACCGCATCTCTTACATGATATTTGTGTGTTAATTCTCCCTCCAAGGAAAAAACAAAATAAATACCTTTATGGGAACCAGCGCCAATGAGTGTCATTTTTATTCATCCATTCATTTGTTTTCTCGAATGAATGCTCTCGCAAAACGAAGCCTAACATTTACAAAAAGCGCGATCGAGAAGCTGCGTCATCCCACGTGATTTTTCGCAGCGAAAGTAGACTACATGTGTGCATTTTTGATGATTGGCAAGGTGCGTGCGAAGCGAAGTATGAGCTGAATATTTTTATTTACTTTATGTATTTGTTGAGACATACTGCAGACCAGCATTTTGGTCCACGCAGGAGGGCCACAAGAAACATCAAGCGATTCGTAACAGCAAAAAAAAAAAGAAACATATATCCATACGCTAACAGAGGTCACATGTCTGTAAAAAAGCAACAAAATTTAAACACATTTGAACACTCTGATTACCAAGTATATAAGGTTCCAGCGAAATAGCAAAACTGTCAGCCAAAAAAAAAAAAAAACTAATGAGAAAGTGAATTGCATTCATCAACTGTTCTGAAAAAATAACTGTATTTGTAAGCATTACTTCGTGCATATATTGGTGCCAAGGATCGATCATGTTTACCGCGGGTATTCCTAGCAGTGGCTGGCTGAACGTAACAAGGTAAATTTAAGGCAACTTTCCCAGAAATGATTGTGTACAAAAACGTTAAACGGTTCAACTTTCTTCCTGTTTCTAAGAAAGGAACTGAGCAAATTGATGACAACTCCCCTTTGAAGCCACGTACGAATAGCCGAGAAAAAATCACAGCTTGTCCACGAGGTTAATGATGACGCGAGTGGGGCGAGGCGTGCGGACGAACGGACGCACAGACGGACGGACGCATGGACTGAACGAATGCATGCACAGACGGATGCATGGAAGCATAGACGGACTGATGGATGCTTCGTCCCGCTCATCATTATTCACTCCATGGATATGCTGTGATAGCGTTTTCATTGACACCAATGCTTTGCAACTGGCTACTACGACGACTGCAGCGACACGGGACATATGCCCCACGGCGTAAAGAGCTTCGCCCCTGAAAAACACGTATGTTGATGAGCAGGCCGAAACAATATTTCAAATGCAGCATTCGGTAATGCTTTGATACGAGCAATAAGAAAGACGCCTTACCTCGCAAGCACGCTGTTCTTTGTCGGAACGAAGTTTATTCGGCCGATATAGTGCAGCCATTGCTGCTTGTGCAAGCCATCGCGTTTACATTGGGGTATCATAAAAAGTGCGTAACCATTTTCACTGTGGTTGTTGCAGTCATAGGCACAACAGCGCGGCTTAGCACCCACACAAAGCACAGAAAACAAAGCGCACGCCTGCGAAAAATGACGCGAGCGAAAAAGAAAAACAAGCAAAGCGCAAAATTCACGCGTCTCCAAGGGCAACCGCGAAGGGAGCGATGAGAGAGAGAGGAGGTCGAGCGCGCGGCGCCGAACACAGTGGATGGCGGTACTTTCCCAAGGTCAAGGAGACTCTTCATTCTGGAGAGGACGATGGTCACTTCGCACGCTGTTGCAGCCGCGTTTACGAAAGGAGCCCGCTGCCTGACACATGACGCATAAAGAAGTGTGATAGTTGGTCGCGCCTGTCCTCTGTACACTTGTGCGCTAGGTGCGTGCGTCTTTGTTTAAACAGCGCGCTATAAGTGTTGAGCTGTGGCAGTAGTAAGTCGGCGCTCGTTCTGTTTATGCTAATTTCGTGCGCACTTTCTGATTGAGGTTTGCACATCGAGTTTCGAGCTGCTTGCCGTTTTGAACGTGACTTAGCGATTTCTTGCCGTTGCTGAAACAATGTACAATAAACGCTCAACTACCTCTCTAAAGGCACGCTTCACTCCCGTGTTATACCGATGTCTATATAAGGGGTAAGCCACGTTTTTATAGTTAACGCAGGCCGGTAATGTGTCCCTTTTTTGTTAGCGTAACGAGTAACATAATTATACTCTGTCTAACCACTACGGTTCAGCACTGTCAAAGCTATGGGGTGTAAGCAAGCCAGATGCTTGCAACAGGAAAGCATACAGTTTTATAGCCTTGCCCTTGTGTAGCATCCGCTTATGCACATCAATAAATATGTTTATTCTTCCTCGTATCTACATCGTCTTCCTTTCATATTAGCAAAATACTCGACCATGGTACGCTTAGGGCTTTAGGTAGCGGACCACATTGGCTGGGCCCAACTCACTTGATGTGGGACAGGTACGGGCGAATTTAACCACGAAGAGTGGCAGACTGCAATGTCGCGCTTTCAAGCTGAGGTTCGGGCAGAAAAATGTTCTTTGATGCAGTGCTTCAGTATCAACAGAAATCGCCCAAGGCACTGATGACCCTTGTTGCAAGTTCTTTAAAATAAGGCACAGCACAGAAAGACTGGACACAAGAGACAAGACGACGGGTGGGGTACGCACTACCAACCTAATTTCATTATGAAGGAACTGCAGGAATAATATACAGAGCATACGTCCCAAGCGAGCCTGAGCACACATCACAGAGCTAATAAAAGGAATTACTGCATATTGCCGCAAAAGCAATTGATATTCACACTCCCGCGAAAACCCTGACATCTGGCTGACAAAACCTGCGTCCATCATTTTCATCTAGAAAGTCTTCAACAGCTCACTAGCAACTGTTTTCCTGCTGCGTCCCAGCACCTTCAAAGCAGCAAACAAAAGCACACTGCCACACACTGAACAGTGGGCAGTGTGCTTGAATGCCTTTATTTGTGAGCGTTCACTCATCGCACCAGGCAGACGTCAGTGTATTTGTGGGAGCATGAATTGTGATTACTTTGCTGCAATATGAAGTAGGTAAATTTTCTGATGATTAGCTATGCAATATGTGCACAGGTGGGCTTGTCATGTACGCTCTGTGCATTTTTCCTGAATTGTTTCATAATAAAATCGATTGGTAGTGAGGACCCATGTTGTCGTTTTTCTGGTGTCCAGTTTTTTATGGTCTGCATTTATTTTCAGACAATGCACCAACTCGCCCAGCAATGCATTCTATTGTTTCAAGTTTGTCGATTCCAACTTCAAGTAGCAAGGTGAGCACAACTCCAGGAAAGAAGTGGGAGGCAGAGGAGAAGAGAACCTCCAGAACACCTCCAGCAACCAGTACTGAAGCACGGGTTGAGCCAATGGTTTATTCCAAAAACCAACTGTGCAGATATGACGATGTCAGGTGCCGTCTACAAACACATACAGACGACAGAATGCAGTCCATGGAAGGGTTTACAAAGTAGTGCACAAGCTCGAGCAATGCGCGTCTCGATTCAACGACCACTGACCACACTTGTTGAATTCATTATCACTTTGCAACCGTTTTGTCTCCTGAAAATAAGCCCGCTCAATAAATCGCTCAGTACTTCCAGTTCATTATTCTTGCCATTTATCCTGCTCTTAGCATTTTCGTATTGAAATAGATGACGATGGGTCAACACAACCGTTGCACCAGTGAGAGAAAAGGTTTAGTCATTGGTTGTCGCAAACCAGCACACCATTTCCCATAGTACAAATGTATAAAAAGTATGACGCAAAACGACCTTTTCGTCTACACAACTGCGCTGCTAGAACTCTAAGCAAAAGAACACGTTGCTTGCTTCGTGAACCTATGCTTCTTAAATAGCACATTATCATGGCATAATTGAAAACATTTAGACATATTTCACAAGTAACACACTGTTGCCATGCTAGACATAGCTGTCTTGGTAAATTCACCAAAATAGAAAATGGACAGTACTAGGAGGCATATCGGTGTAAAAAATCTAGCTCACTAAACTTCAGTTATGATTGAGCACACTATCGCACAATTTACTAGCTTAGCATTATGGAATGCTCTTCAATACGTTCGGTTGTGCTGTACTCTGCAGGAGGCACAGCATCCTTAAACACACTTCCCACCTTGCAAAAATTCTTACATGAGCGCGCAAGTCAGCGAGTGCGGCAATTATGCCTCCTAAAATATTTCTCTTGCTCACATCAGACAACCTGCAGCATGCTGAACCTTACTGTTATACACATGCACAAAAATATACCAAAAAAGCTCAACGAAATAAAGATGTGGTCTAAATTGTTCCAGGCATTATTAGAATGCATCTACCAAAACACTTCTGATGTAAAAAGAGTGAAAAACAGAATGAGAAAAATGTGGTCACGACATTTACATACTGAGGCAAGTGTCATAAGTGAGTGAAACTATAATTAAGGAATCGTAATTATGAATGCTCAAGGAATGCATATCATTAGGGAATGGAGGCTTGCAAGCTGCATATCTTAAAGCCACTTGGTGTTGAACATGCCACCATACACTTACTGGTAAACTCGGCACAACCTACTAGCCTGCCTGCAGGAACGTTGTAGTAGGCAAGCAAAAACAGTTTTTTTTTTTTTCATTGTCAAAATACTTGAGCTTATTGCAATGTAAAGCATACGAGCCAAAAGTGCTATTTGTAGTCGACCATCCATTAGCACTCAGTTTTCTGCAAGTAAAAGGTGACTCAAGAAGTTGTCACACAACACCTTTAACGCAGAAAGCACAACACAGATGAGATTCCAAACACAGCACAATTGTCTCGAGCACAGGGCGACCTGATGAGATGTCAAGGTGTGTATTCGATTTGCACAGTAACACCCTTTAGGAAAGTGCACTTTAGAAGGTGTTTTTGAAAAAACGTGGTGTCAGAATAAAGTTGAACCTCACAATGCATGCATTCAATACAGCACAATGCACAGCACGATTCATGTTTTGGTGGGAAAACATTTCGTACCCATAGACCTACAAAAGTATTGTTCAACTAACGTTTGTCATTAAATATGCCATTGTACGTTCTGTCAGAAGTGATATATTAATGCAGCAAACTAATTGCTCAATACTAGCCCTGTGGATAGGTATCAGTAAGAGAGCTGCAATATCAGAATTACGAGAAAAAAAAAAGTGCAGCTGCCAAGTCTAATAGTATGGAGTAAAGCAAGGAATGACAAGAACGATTCTGGCTAAATTTGGTCTGCACCAACAAAAGGAAAAAAAAAACAATATAGCTGCACAGAGTTAGCAAAATGGAATGGAAAAAGCAAACAAAATGATGACATACTAGTTGGGGAGAGACTCCAGAGCTGAAGCTTCTACCAGCAGGCAGAGCATAGGGTGACAAAAAAAAAAAATACTCATGCTTTCTAATGATAAGCATCAATAGTACGAAGAAAAGATGTCACTAAACTGTACTTAAAAAACAGGGCAATATTGCCCCAAATTCTACAATTGAAACAAACTATACTGATGGCAGCTTCACCCCCAGGCAGCATGCTTACGTTGAAGCCTGTTCAAAGAAACGCTCATCATTACTACTCCTTCATCTGAAATGGAACTTCGATTGCAGGTATCACACGCGAATAAGCATTGCAGTGACTCGAGTTACTCCCTTGATTCAAGGCAACAATTTCCCCTTTTTTCTAACCGTCAACATAAATAAAGCAAGGACATCATCCTTTATCCGTTAAATTCAACTTGGAATGCATAAAAACAACACTGTTTCATCAAGCATGCAAGATTTACTCTCCACACATATTAAGCTGGCTTAGTGTGGCACTCCTTGAAGGCATAGGAAAAAACCGTGAGGTTTTGTTCGAATATAGTATGGTTCAAAACTATAAATATGGGACAAAAATTATTAATATGTTTGTGAAACGTAATAAAAATCATGGTTATTCAACTTAAACGGTAAACGTTGTCAAGACATCCTAGTTAAAGCATTATGCAGCTGCTGGCACTTTCAAAGGGACCGCCCCATTATGTAACAGAGATATCCCTGATGATAAACGTCGAACGAATATCCCACATTTTACAAGCGTCTTAGCGGTGACTTTTCAAACCACGCCGGACAGCTTAAAAAGATGTAAGGAGGAAGACATCCTATACCACTGACACAAAAACAAGACCAGTTCCACGCTGCACTTACGTCACCGCACTATACCATGCTACGCACATCTCTGTTGAACTTCAGAGCACGAGCTCTTCTTGCTCTTCGTATTCTATCTTTTCTACCAATGGTGAAACTCTCTCTTCTTCGACGGATCCGGCACTCGGTGACACAACGTTCCTCGGCATCGGTTGTGGTTCCTCTGTCGGTGACACAACCTCTCGGTTCCCTTCCTCTTCCTCCTCCTCTACCTCTTCGTCGTCATCGACCTTGAGACTGTCTCCGTTGACCGTCACACTCGTGCAGTGATTCACCAAGACTGTTGTTGTCGCTGGTGGCATCGGCGGTGCAGTTGGACTGTGATCCGCCGTGCCGTTGGGGACGGAGGAGAGCTTGTCGATGAACTCTGGGTCGAGGGACCTTAGTCTGTCGAGAAAGCTCGCTTTATCCTCGTCACTCCAGCCCTGCAAGAACAATATGAGCATAAGCGCTTTTGGAGGGTTACAAAGTATAAAAACAACACTTTCCAGTATATTCTGTTCAGAACATGCTCAAAGTCATAATATGGCAAACAACAACAAAAGAAACTAGTCATAAGCCAAGCAGAAGAGGCATAAACAGGGTATTAGATCAGCAGTACGAACGAGAAGGCTGAGCAGAAACATAACATGATTATATCAAGCAACAGCTAAACAAGGGTGCAAACCTGCTGAGCAACTATGCGCTTTTCTTTTCAAGTCGTATTTGCATCACTCGAACGAGAGCTGCCGTTTAACCAAAGACTAGTTATATTGCCACGTCCTTCAACGGATGAGACGAAATAGCGAAGCTCAGGAACGTGTACTTCAGCCTTCTGGATGGTGCTCGTACATGGTTCAGAACTGCAAGGGCCTCCTAACAACATGATTCGAGTTCTGTCACAGAATTCTGAACACATACTTGAGCCCTGATCATTGAGACCGTCGAGAATGGCCCCTCCTGTCTCGCACTCAGATGCTCAATGAAGGTGTTGCCATGTATGTGGAGGATATAGTTCGTGTGTTCAATCGAGCCAATCCAAAGATCCAAACCCAAGAAGCTGCGTCACTCTATGCAAGGCATGAAGGAGCAGCTCCTTGGTGGTCTCATTCATAGTCCTCCCAAGACTGTTGTGGAGTTCCTCACTGAAGCCGTCGCCATGGAGAAGGCGCTGCAGCATGCGGAATCAGTATGATCGGCAAGCCGATGCTACCTGCACCATCGGGTCAGGATCATTCCTGACCGACGAGAAGCACTTTGTGAGTTTTGGTTGTCCAGCGACGAGCTGAAAAAACTGCACCAGGTGCAGCAACAGCTGACTACTAACTGCATAGCAAGAGTCATGCGTAACAGGTGCTCCGCGCACCTCGACGCAACATACCTGCTCAGCTTCGTGCACCACTTCAGGCGTTTACACCTTCCGATGACCCTCAATGCATGACGTATGCCGACACTCTGAGAAGCACTGTCCCATCGGCGGTGACACCTACAATGAATGGCCCGCCAGTTACGCGAGCCTGCCAGTTACGACAACACATATAGATACTACTCACCTGCGCCAGCGTTGATACCCACCGCAACCCTGTATGCCACACTCCAGTCTGCACAGGCGGTGCCTTATTTTGAAGACACTCGGCCCGTCGCACGTAAATCTGACATTTGGAGCATACCCGACTTATGACCGCTTTGCTACCACTGAGGTGAGGCTGGGCACCTGTACCGAGAGTGACAGCACCATTGACTTAGGCTTCAGGCTTCTCCGTGCAAGTTGCACCCCATCCCCCAGTCTGACAGCGACAACCTGAGATAGAAGATCTTGCTTGGCAACATGTACCACCCAGGTGCCAGTCGCGTTCACCGTTGCCATGATTACTATCCTACTTGGGCAACAGGAATAAGATGTCGCAAAGATGATCTCTGAGCCCTTGCCTGGAAAACTGACGCCAGTGAACTCTCGAGGCGAGGCTGCTAATTGTTGACGTGTTGAAGACCTAGACCTCCAATCAACACAACTTTGGACCGACGGCGAATCAACGACATTTGTATCTCAGCCTGGTGACTTTTGAATGGGCATACCTGTGCTGATCGACAGTCGAAATGTAACAGCCTTAGTAGATACTGGTGCTGACTACTCGATTATTAGCGGAAAATTGGCAAGTCTACTGAGAAAAGTTATGCCTTGGACAGGGTAGCACGTACACACAGCTGGGAAACCCGTTAGCCCTTTGGTGTGTGCACTGTTAGAATGAAAATACGAGGTTCCACGTTTTTGATTACCTCCCTCGTCCTACATGAACGTTCGCGCGAATTGATAATCGGAATAGACTTTCTTCGAAAATACTGTGCCGTAATGAACTTACGCAGATGCTGCACTTCATTTTCTACAGCCAAGGCTTAAAGGATACCTGGCGCCGTACAGTCGCTCTTCGTGTTTCTGACGACAGCATCACAATACCACCTCGTGTGAGTATCATTACCCAGGCGACTTCCGAAGCCTCAAGTGACGGTGAAACACTGGCAGAGTGCAACATCTCCCTGCTACTAGCACTTGGAAGTTCTCTGGCACGAGGCATCATTGACATTAGGAATGGTCAAGGTGAAGCCATCACGAATTTCACAAATGAGCATCGTCACCTTTTCCATGCCACTTCGGCTGCCTACGATGAAGCCTTTGAGTATGTCATTGAGTGTTTTGCGTGCAAAGACAGTAGCTGCAATGAAACAGCTGTAACAGATGTTGACATCAACAATGCACTATCAGAACAGAACCAGAAGGCATTGCAACAGCTGCTACTCGAATTCAAGGCGTGCTTTGCTCAATCATTTAAAGTCAGACAGACGCCAATCATGCAGCACAGCATAATCACTTTCGATGATGCGCGACCTATCCACCACCAGCCATACTGTGTCTCGCAGAAAAAAACATCAAGCAATCAAGAAACAGGTGAAGGAAATGATTGAATATTGGAGCCTACGATTGCAGGAGTATGACGTCACTATTGCGTATAAGTCGAGTCGTGCGCACAAAGATGCAGACACATCACACGTGCCAGTTGGGCCTGCTGCTCAAAACCTCGAAGACGACTGCCGTTTCTTTGGAGCCGTAAGCATAACCGACGTAGCTACAAGGACAGCAAGTGGATGTTGAATTGCAACCTACAATTGAGCATCTCGAGGGCCGCAATGTATCTGTACCCCTGCACATAGAACGCAGGCTGTCATCTTTATGTTTGAGACAGGCCTTGTTTTACAAGAAGAACGCTGGTGCTAGCGAGCAAACTTATCAACTGGTCGTTCCAGCAGGGCTTCGTGACGAAATTCTATTTGCCTGCAATAACGAACCTTCATCTGGCCACCTGGGTATCACCTGAACACTCCCTAAGGTAAGCAAGTTTTACTAACGGCTGAAACTTGTCGCTTGCCTTAAGCAACACATCCAAGCCTGCCAAAATAGCCAGCATTGAAAGTCGCCATCTGCGAAATCTGCAGGATTACTTCACCCAAGCGAGCTACCCAGAACACCCTTCAATTAGGACGGCATGGATATTCTCGGCCAGTTTCCCTTTGTTGTCTTCGGAAAACAAGTGAATAATTGTCGCTAAGGATTTTTTATTTATTTATTTATTTGCAATACCCTCAGGGCCAAACGGCATTACAGAGGGGAGTGGTTGCGAAAGAAAAGACAAAAAATTTTTACAAATGCAGCGGCGAATCTTACATAGAGCAGAAGATCTTAATTATACAGGTAAGCTCCCGTGTATGCCCGTGTATTAATCAACCCGTGTATGCTTGTGACCGTGTTGTAAGCAGGTGCACATCTTTGGCTCCATTAGTTGGGATAGTTGTGCCTAGTGACTAGGTCTGTCGAAGTAGATCGGGGTTTGGTCAGCGTTGCCTAAGAATGTAATCTTTCTGACGCCGGGGGTTTATGACGTATCTCTGGAACTCTACGAGCCGTTCCTCATACGCTGCAGGCAAACTGGTGAAAAGTGGTCGTTCTACGATGGAGAAAGAGTTCATTCCGCCACAAACTTTTGGACCGAGCTCCGACTTGCTTCAAGGGGGGACGCGGGTCCTAGAACGGTCTAGAAATGGTAAAAAAATCGATTTTTCGCAAAGCTTATATTCGGGGCGTTTGTACTTTGAGCACCTACTCTTTAATTGCTAATGATGGATTCGGTCAGGAAACACGATAAAATTGGATTTCAATGCACCCCAGTCGCACTGAAATGCCCCCGAAATACGAAATTTGTTCCAACTTCCCGCGTGCGCTTGTGGGTTGCGGCGGAAGCAAACAGAGCCATCTCGGGCTTGATTTGAAGTGGTGTTTTTCGTGCACATTTTGTGCCATCTCAAAATGACATCGCTCAAGTGGAATGGCTGGCTGTCGCGGGTTTTCTGAAGGTTGTTTCCAGATTGCCGATTAAACCTCACGTGCTTTCCGAGTCTCCAATTGGCTGAGTGATCGACACGTCATCTTTTTTTCTCTGTGTTGCGTTCACAGCAGTGGCTGTCCATTTGTGTGTGCCTGCTCTTGCGATCGTGCGTGTTTCTCGATGCACTGTTTTCGTTTCGCACCGGTACTTTTTCACCGTAATCAAGATGCCTGGAGACTCTAGTCTGAAACTATCAATCCGACGCGCTTTCGGAAGCCATGAAAAATGGCCTTGAAACAGGAAGGCGCGGGCCACAAGTGCCCATTGGCAGCTAGTTGCAGTTGCGGCCGGAACCGTTGGATCGACCGAAAACTTTAACGACGCTTTGGGACCAAGTTCGACGAGCGATACACTTCGGATTGATGCTGCGTACTACTCAACGGCGGAACAGGCACAGCGAGTTGAGAAATCTACGCAAGCCAAGACCGTTTTGTAGGGAAAGTCGGCTACCCGAAAGTTCAACCTCCTTGGAGTCAGCGCTTATAGCCTTCGCCATCCGATTTTCGACACCGCCTACACAGCCGACGAGCTTGGAGTTGACACGAGCACTACCACCAGTGAACACTGTCATCGGTGATGAGCAACAGCATGATGTGTGGCTGAAATTGAGGCAGAAATCATCGCGGGCAAGCGGAATGCTGTGCAAAAGAAAATAGGAGACTTGTTTTGGGCCAACGTGTGGACCACTGAGGTATCAGCCGGCCAAATCATTTTTTTTTCATATAGTATACAGCTCTTTTCAGAGCTTTTTAAACGATGCATTTACAAGATTGGAACAAGCATTTTGTGCAACAGCCGTGTCCCTCTGTGTTAGCAAAAAGTACCTATAAAAAAGGGCATTATTGAGGGCATCCGCTTTTTCTGGACGGATGCACGATTGTCCGGACATGGTCATGGTCCCTCGAGAGTACGGAACAAAGCAACTTAATACCCAGGGCAGCATGCTGCCTAACAGCTAGTCGTTTGAGCCTCATACCCCACAGTTTTTCTAGAACCCGTAAACAGCTTTT